TGAGCGCCCGGGGGGTGGGCGACGAAGGCGGCGCGAAATGCAAAGAAATGCCGGCCGAGGAGAGGCGCGAGGAGCCCGCAGGAATTGCACGCATCGAATTCCGTGGCTTTCCACGATGTGGAAAGAAAAGGGAAACGGGCGCGCGCGAGAGAAAAAGAGACCTGGTGGGAGAGAGGGGCTGAAGGCCGCCGGCAGAGGCCAAGGCCCTCGGCCCGCGCCCTCCCCGCCCCCTGCGCGCCCCACCCCGCGCGCCCCCCGCGTCCTCCGCGCCGCGGGCCCTCGCTCTCGCCGCGCGCCCTGGGGCTGCCCGCATTGCCCGGGCGGTGCCGGGCGCCCTTCCCCCGGCGAGCGCGGCCGGCCTGGGGCCCCGGGCCCCTAGCTGTGGGAGTCAGCGTGAGGAACGGTGGGCACGCGGAGCCACGCGACCACGCGAGGTCGAGAGAACGATTCGTACGGTGCTCCCCCGACTCGGATCCCGGAGGGCCACCTCGCCACTGAGGACGGCCGAGCCAGTGCAGCCACGGAACAGGCGGAATGGCGACGGGCAGGGTGGACGGGCGAGGAGGGCGCAGGTTTCCCCGAGGAGCATCCGTAGGGGTTCGGGTTGGGGGTTCCATGAGCTGCGTGAGCAAGAGTTGTGCGCGGGGTGAGGGGCAGGGACACGGTAGACCCTCTGCAATTAGGACCCAGTTCCTGGCTACCCCTTCCTCGGACTGGGAGCAGGAGATGGAACACTTGCGTGAGGGCAAAGGTTGCCAAATTCCTCATAGCTGCTGGGCACCTGGAGAAAAGAGAGGTGGTCGTCAATCTACATACACACGCACACGCACACACGACGGAAAGGAATCCTTACAACTGAGCGCCAAGATGTGGATCAAGGGGACCCCCAGTGTATCCACTAAGTAGATCTCCATTAACCAAGTGAATGGAACTTAGAAATCAGCTTTGAAAAGTCCGACCCTCCCCCACCCACCCCCACCAAGAACCACTCCTAAGTGCAACAGAACACACTTGTACTGCCCACAAGGGGAATTTTGCCTCCCTCCCCAGCACCATGTCACCATACATTAGGGTAGCTCCCCAGCAACCGTTCTTTAGAGGACATCAACTGCGTTATTGGTTGCAACCTCCACCAGCATGGGATCTTTAGCTCCTCAGACCTGTAAGGAGGAAGGTTTCTTTGGAAGCTAGGGGTGGAGGGACAGAGTGGGTCCCAACTGAATGCTCAGAGACTTAGAAGGTGCTGCCTCTCTCACCCTGTTGAAGAGCTGGTGACCTTTCCCATCTTTTATAAGAGATGGTATTACCGTAGACCCAAGCCTCTGATTTCTTGGTCAGGGCCTTCAGTTTGTGGCCTAAATTACAATCTTGGCCTGGAGCCAGAGTAAATAGTCAAGGAATCTTCCCAAGGAAGTAATCGGAAATACTGCCTTCAGATAAGCAAACTTTTTTTTTTTTCCCTTGCTGGAAAGCAAATTGCTTCTGAGGATGCAGGATAACTGTTTCCTACCTCCTTGAAGCCAGATCACTTTCCTGGGCTCAGCTGCACCTGCAAAAAGCTAACAGTTTACCCTATGCCCAGGCCTCAGAGGGCGGGGGAGCCAGAGAAAGTGTTCAGGGCTAGGAGGGGCACTGACACCCGCCCATTCCATCCCCACCCCTCACCCCCCTGTATGCAGAGGGAATCTCTTCGAACAGGTTGAGTTTTAATATAGTTGGGGACACTAGGAAGTTTCCCCAGGAGCACTCGCTGTGGAGGGATCCACAAAGGGTACCACCTTGCAAAATCACTCTCTTGCTCTGCTCTTCTAAGGCACACCTGCTGAAGGCATCCTTTGCAGACAGGAAGCCCTCCGGACACCTGACTTCTGCTCCGAGGGTGAAAACCAGAGGAAGGCAGATCCCGAGCGCCCTGTGAAACCAGATCCCGCTGGGCCAACCGGCTAGCGCGTGGATCCCCCAAGTCTTGCCGTAACTGGCCTTCTTAGGATAAGCACAGCTTCTGCCCGAGGCGAAGCCGGCAGCCTCTTCTTGGGCTGAGGCAAAGTCCAACCCCGAGGGGCAAGCGCGGGAGGGGGCGCCTCTGGGTGAAGTTTCCAACCCAAGCCAACAAACGGCGCTGTTGCCGCGCCCTGAGTCCCAGGAGCCCCAGGCCCAGGCTCAGTGGGAGGGAACCCGAGCTCTCTAGGGAGGGCGGGGAATGGGGAGCGAGTGCTTGGCTGGATTCCCAGCCCACCGGGCGGGCTCGGTCTGCCGCCCCGGGAAGCCCGAAAAGGCGAGAGAGCTGCCCAGTTCTAGGTTTCTGCTGGGAGAGGTTGGTGAGGTTCCTGGGTCCCGCTGGGTCCCTTTGCTTTCCGCACTGGATGCGGGGTGCCAGTTGGAGACACAGGTTTCTGCCTCCTAGCCCCGTCCGAATGGAGGCCCCTCAGGGTTACCCGCTGCGCCACTTCTGGCCCTGCAAGGTGGCGTCGCGGACTGGCGTCTGCGCCTGCTCAGAGAACAGGTGGGCCAGGAGAAATGGTCGCTTTCCGCTCCTTCCCCATCTTCATGGTCACCCATGTCTGTGTATTGAAATGGTAGTTTGCGCTGAGGACTCACAATAGTTTCTAAGAAAATTCTGCGTGACGTTTACATAGGGGCTGCGTAGACCACCCCAGAACCACAGGGCACAACGACCGGTTTAAACAGGACCTCAGAGGGAAGCCAGAAGGGTGGGAGAGGGTGCCTGATCCTGGCAATAGACGGTGGTAGATCTGCTAGAAGGGTGTAAGGTAAGATGAGCTCAACCAAGCCGAGGGTTAGCTGTGACAAATGACAACCAGAGTCAGGGAGCAACTCACTAGGTGATCTGCTGTGGAGAGGAGCGCAGGATATAGGCGTCCTTGGCCTTGGGAAATATGCGCCCCCCCCCCCCCCGCGCTGTCACTACAACGGCTTACTTGGGTCCTAAAACTTGGAAAGAATGCTGACATCTGTCAGGCTACTGGAAGCCAGGCCGCGCGTCGGTTGGGTGGTTTCCTAAAACTCGCTTCACTTAGCAACAGCCTCTGAGACCAGACAACCCGAGCAGGCATCTGGAGAAGGCGGCAGAAGGCAGGGCTTCTTTGGGAGAAGGTGGGTTTGCCTAGGAAAATCTGGCTTTGTCAGCCAGTTTGCCAAGAAAAGGGGTGCAGGTGAGGACCGCCCAGTCACTCCCTTTTCTGAGACACGTTGTGTCAGCTTAAGTGTGCACACCCGTGGTGCTCTGCGCGCACACGATCCATACAGAGAACCTTTACGAATAGTTTACTTCAAAACTCTAAATCAGCACAGCCTTTCAAATGATAGCCGTCCCTGCGTGGGAACGTTTGTTTGATGAGCAGGAGAACATGGATCAGGTGAAACTCAGAAATAAGAGGACGGTAGCAAGGCTGCAAACTGGAGGGAAATGACGCTAGCTGGGAGCCGGGGTTCTGGTGCCAGCGGCCCGCCAGCCCGGGAGAACCGACCTGCCCTGCGTCCTGTTCCCCAAGCTACAAAAGAAGATTTTAAAATTGTGCGGTAAAGAGGAGCGTGCTAGGCGTGCAGGTATCCCAGGAGCCTCTGCTCTTCCATAAACGCTAAAGTGCAAGAAGTCTGGAGACTTGTCTTTTTTTTTTTTTCCTCACACTTAGGATTTACACCTGTGTTTTGGTTTCCCACTTTCCACGAGGCCGGGGGAGGGGGCGAGGCCGCACACCGCGTGAACACGTTATTTCAGTTCATGCGACTTATGCTTCTCCTTCCCACCCGTCGCCTCGGGCGGCTCCGGGAGGCTCTGAAGCTGTGCCACTCGCCAGCGTGGGCGGAGGCGATTGTCTGGGTTCCCACTCTGCGTAACCGCGGTTCCTGCGCGGTTGTTCTTCCGCGAACAACCCACCAGTGCGGGTGAGGGTCCAGCTCCGATTGTTGGGCTCCAGTCGGGAAGGCTGCAAAAGAAAAAAGGAGAAGGTCGGAATCCGTTAGCAGAGCCTGCTCCCCGGGGAGGCGGCGCGGCTGCGCGGCGAGAGCAGCGCTCAGTGGTCCTGGCAGGTGCATGGCCTGTGGAGGGGGCCGGAGGTCCGTCCCGAAGACAGCCTCGGCTCCTCTCCGACCACCATGCCCCCTCCAAGAAACTTTTCTTTCACTCGGAGAGGCTCCGTGTTGCCATGAAAACGGATTTTCCAAGGGGCCCGACCCTCCCCCTCAGGGGCATCGGACTGGAAAAACCGAAATGGCCAGAGCGCAGAGACAAAAAGGGGCCGCTGAGCGGGGCCTCGGAGAGAGCGCCGTAGCCGTTACACCCCCTTCGCCCCCCACACACTTGCCACCCCGTGGCGTGTGAGCGCCTCCACCCGGCGCGGGCAGCAGGACGCGAAAGTGTTCGCTCTTTCGCCCACGAACAGCACCAGAGCCTCAGAGCTCCCCAATGCCCTGCGATTCCGAAGCCTGCCTCGCGTGCCCGGGTCCCCGGCCCCGCTACATCTGCGCGCGCCAGCTCGCGCGTTGGCCGCGGCAGGTCCGGCTGGAAAGAGTCCGATTGCTAGGAGGGCTTCTGGAGCCGCAGCTGTGGGCACCTCTGTGGCGCCACGGTTGCACAAGGCCGCCTCGGTAGCTGACGACGCCCGGTGCCCCTAGCGCCTGCGGCAGAAGCGGTGGGAGCAAATCCGTGCCGATAGCGGGGAGCTTTGTAGGGTGGACCGGAGCCTGGCCCCGCTGGGGTTTGGGGGGGCTGCAAAGTTGTATTCTGAACCGTGCGGGCGGCCCTCGGCCCCTTAGGTCCCCTATCCTGCTGTCGCACCCCCCTCACTAGTCGGTCATCTCCTCGAGTTTGATTCTTTCAAACTTTTTGAGACCCTAATTGGTGGTTTGTGAGAGGCTGTCCGGGACTCCCGCCTCTTGAATAAGTCTCCTCACGTCACCCGGCCGTAGAGGGGCGTGGGGGTGAACTCCCGTGCTCCCCGAACTTTTTTTTTCGAGCGGGGCTGAACGGGGGCTCCGAGATGATTGGCCAGGGCGCATCACGGCGAGTCTGTCAATCATCCGGCCTCCCGGTGGCGAGGGGCGGACCGAGCCCCAACCCCGGGGGATCCAAGCAGGTATATAAGGGACCGGGCGAGCGCCCGGCCAGACTGCGAAGGCTACCGGCTCCAGACAGCGCATCAGGTGCGAGCAGCCGGCTGACTTGGCGCCGAGCAGCAGCTCTTCGGGCGGCCGGCCCTGCCAGCCGACTCGCGGGCCCCCCGGCCCCCAGGCGCCCCTTCGACGGAGTCCCCGGGCATTTTCACCGTGGCCGCTCCTGCAGCCCCGGGCGCGCCTTCTCCTCCCGCCACTCTGGCGCATCTCATCCCCGCTCCCACGATGTACAGCCTGCTGGAGACGGAGCTCAAGAGCCCCGTGGGGCAACCACCCCAGCGGCGGGCGCGGGCCGCCTCCGCCGCCCCGGGCGGCGCTGGCAAGAGCGGCGCGAACGCGGGCGGCGGCGCGAACGCAGGCGCCGGCAGCGGCGGGGCCGCGAGTGGCGGGGGCGGGGCGGCGACCAGGACCGCGTGAAGCGGCCCATGAACGCCTTCATGGTGTGGTCCCGCGGGCAGCGGCGCAAGATGGCCCTGGAGAACCCCAAGATGCACAACTCGGAGATCAGCAAGCGCCTGGGCGCCGACTGGAAACTGCTGACCGACGCCGAGAAGCGGCCGTTCATCGACGAGGCCAAGCGGCTGCGCGCCGTGCACATGAAAGAGTACCCGGACTACAAGTACCGGCCGCGCCGCAAGACCAAGACGCTGCTCAAGAAGGACAAGTACTCGCTGCCCGGCGGCCTGCTGCCCCCCGGCGCGGCCGCCGCCGCCGCCGCCGCCGCCGCGGCCGCCGCCAGCAGCCCGGTGGGCGTGGGCCAGCGCCTGGACACGTACACGCACGTGAACGGCTGGCCCAACGGCGCGTACTCGCTGGTGCAGGAGCAGCTGGGCTACGCGCAGCCCCCGAGCATGGGCAGCCCGCCGCCGCCGCCCGCGCTGCCGCAGATGCACCGCTACGACATGGCCGGCCTGCAGTACAGCCCCATGATGCCGCCCGGCGCCCAGAGCTACATGAACGCCGCGGCCGCCGCGGCCGCCGCCTCGGGCTACGGGGGCATGGCGCCCTCCGCCGCCGCGGCCGCGGCCGCCGCCTACGGGCAGCCGCCCGCCACCGCCGCCGCCGCGGCCGCGCCGCCGCCGCCATGAGCCTGGGCCCCATGGGCACGGTGGTGAAGACGGAGCCCAGCTCGCCGCCGCCCGCCATCGCGTCGCACTCGCAGCGCGCGTGCCTCGGCGACCTGCGCGACATGATCAGCATGTACCTGCCCCCCGGCGGGACGCGGCCGACGCCGCCTCGCCGCTGCCGGGCGGCCGCCTGCACGGCGTGCACCAGCACTACCAGGGCGCCGGGACTGCGGTCAACGGCACGGTGCCGCTCACCCACATCTGAGCGCCCGGGCGCCCGCGCGCGCCGCCCCCGCCCGCCCTGCACCCCGAGTCGGGGCGCCCGGTCGTGTCGCTTCGCTTGCCTGGGACGGGGCCGGAGCCGAGGCTGGGGAAGAGCGAAAGTTTGGCTGCCGCTGTCGGGTTTGGGACAAAAGCCTCGAGCCCGCCCGAGCGGCGGAAATGGGACTTTGGAGAGCTGGCCGGCCCCGCGCCGCCGCCCCTCCCTCCCCTTTTGTAGGCTGGGGATCGCCGCGACTTGGGCCAGGAACAGCCGCCCCCGCCTCCTCCCGGGTCCCTGCGTTTCTCTCTGGCATTTGTCTCGTTAGTTTGCTGTTAGCCAACCCGTGAGTGGAGGGAGACTCCGAGGCGCTGGGGACGCCCCCGCCCGGGTCGCTTCGCCCCTGTTTTCCGCGTGGCGTCGGGGGGGGGGGGAGCGGGCCGAGCCCGAGGCGCGGAGGCCGAGGCCAAGGTTAATTTATAGCCAGGTGTGCGTGTGTCCCCCGCCTGCCCCCCCGGCCGCGGGACAGCTTCTGTCCAGTCTGCGTTTAGGCTGTTAAGTTGGTGATTTCTGCCGTGATCTGTTTCCTATTTTGTCGCGCTAATGTATTCGGATTTCGTTTGGGTGGTGGGGCGGGGGCTATTTTGTTTCACATTTTTCAAGGTTTTACTCTTCATTCCTAAATGAGAGATCAATAAATTTTATAACCAACATAATGGAGTCTTGATAATTTTGCGGGCCGGCCTGAAAGTTTAGCGGCGGCTAAGGGAGCCCCTGACCCCCGCATCTGCCCTGACCGCCGCCGCGGGCGGGTGCTTCGGGCGGCAGGAGCTCGGGTAGGCGAGCGTGACCCGAAACACCCCCTTTCTACCTGCCGGCCGGCCGAAACACCGGCTCCCGATACGTTCCACCGTAGCGCCAACAGGAAAATGGTTTGGCTTCCGAGAGCTACTCCTGCGAGCGGCCACGCACTTGTTGATCGCGGTGAGCGGCCGCCGGAGCAGCGTCTGCGGCGACAGCCACGCGGGGCCGGAGGGCGGCGGCCCGCGGCCGCGGAAGCCGGCCACAAACGGCCCCCTTTACCTTTGTGCACTGGGGAGGGAAGGCACTCCAGGCGAGCCGAAATATTTGCAAAACGAAAAAAGCTTCGGAAACCTCCATTCTCCTGTTAAAAACCGATGGCCACGGGAGGCCCTAGCACGAAATCGGTCCCTTTCCACCGCCGTGGCCGAGGCGTTCAGCCAGCATCCCCCACGCAAGGTTCGGGGTTAAAAACTGCACCTTAGCTCGTAAAAGAGCTTCACACTCCTCGGATACGTTTTCCTTGTTAACTTGTGAGCGCAGTGCACTTGTTTTCTAAGAGAAAGCCTGGCGCCCGCTTTCTACTCCTCGCCCTCACTTCCCTCCACTTGGAGACCCTGGGGCATTCCACTGTGCCCCCCGAAGGGCCCTTCGTTTCGCGCCAGCCCCTAAGGCCCCAGTGTATCTGTTTAGGGCCTAGGAAGAAAACAAATAGAACCAGTGTTTTTTCACCCCCTCCTCAGCTGTTTGAGGTGATTTCCTTAATCCCCTTAATCCTGTTACCTCGCTATCCCAGAATAACTGAACTCGGTCTTTGCAATAAGCCCGGCCTGGTGCACTGTTTTTACCCTCATCCACTCCTGACCACAGGTTTCTTGGCTTGAGGTCCTCCAGGACTCTGGGCCACAGCCTCTTCCGTAAATTGGTCTGAATTCCACATTCCTACCTCCTTTGTGCGAGCCAGCCAGAAGCCAGCCATTCACCTGCAGGTGGGGGTGGGTCTGGGAGGGGGGCTTTGCACAGCATCAGGGGTCTCACCGGCTTTTTGCACATCATTGTGGATCCTTGACACTGAGCTCACCCTGCCTCTCCAGGAAAGGTCGGGTATCCCAGGCAGTGCCACCCCTCCCCTGAAGATGATCGCACAGCCAGCCCTCACCCATGGCACCCACTCCCTGGTCGGGTGGGGGGGTGCACTGCTATGATTACAGACCGGGCGCAGGGTCCTCTGCGGGTGCTCTTGTGAGGCCTGTTGGGTCCGGGGAGACCTAAAGACCACTCCCACATCTCCCACGCCAGCCACAGACCTGGCGCCCTTCGGGCAGGGCAGTGCTGAGACACTTGCTGCTGTGATTGGAACAAATACCTCTGTCTTCCAGGTCGGACACACACACACACACACACACACACACACACACACAGTGTCCCCCAGAGGAGCTTAAACACTTTGCATATCCACCCCCTCATATCTTTCACAGTGTTTGGGCCTAAATAAAATAATTGTCCACAGCTTACTCTGGGTTCAAATTGCTAGCAATTGTGGACTCAGGTTTGGTCTGAAATGACTCCAGGAAAGGGAGGGTAAAAACAAGCAATTCTGTCCCACTGAGGGGGCGGTGCCAAGGGGGGGATAAACTGACTGCTTTTTGGAAGAGTCCATTGTGCTGCTGCCTTCTTAGAAGTGCCAGGGTCACCCTTTCCAGGTCTCACATGCCGCTGACTCCCTCTCTAAACATCCACAGCTTTGTGCCCCACTTTGTCTGATTTCCAAATTGCCTTTGGAAGAAAAGATTTCATCAATCAGCACATTTGGAGGATTTAAATCCAGATGAAAGTTTGTTTCTTTCACTTCAGCCATACGGAAGAGACCTGAAGTGGCAGGAAAGTTTCTTCCTCCAGGCCAGAGGTTGCAAACCAGAGCACCGCCCCCCACCCCACACACACACACTCCTCTCCTCCACAATTCTATCGGAACAATTGTAGCTCAAACTGATTTATGGATTGGGGTTTGGGTTAGATTTCATTTGAAATAAGGGTTCGGCTGCTTCAAGGCCACAATGACAAAACCCCAAGTCCCGCTGCCTCTGGCTGGTTTTACCTATGAGGAAGTTGGCCCCTAAAGGAGCTCACGGTTGCTTAGCTGGTTCCTTGGTGGCATGGCCTCACCAGGCTCCCCTGGCCTGTGAGGGCTTTCTGCTTCGCCACAAGATGAAGAGAAAGATCAGCAAAATCCCAACCACAACTGCCTCTCATGCCCATAATTCAGGGTGATCTTTAGAGAAAAGGTAATTCCTGACACCCAGACATCCAGCAGCCACCACCTGGGGAATGGGGAAGTGATGTGGGGTGCTGGGGTGCATGCAGTCCTTAAGGAGGGAAGCTGACCTGCCCCTCTTTTGGCTCCCCCCACCACAGTAGCAGAGCTACCTTTTGTTACATGGACATTTTCTTTCCTGTCCTGTCTGTACAACCTCCCTCCATAATCTCCCTTCTAGAACTCTCCCTCCAAAATGTAGGCAAAGATGTATAAACAAAGGTGCTCATCACAAACCTCCTTATAATGACAGTTACACAAAACCCAAACGTCTGACACGTAGGAAAAGGTTATACAAAATGTGTTTTCGAGAGAGACTACTCTGGATATTAAAATTGTGTGTGGAGAAATTTTAATGACACAGGGAAATGCTTAAAACGCAAAGTGAAAAGAGCAGGGTATGTACAAGTATATTCTGTAAGTGTGACCTAGTAAAAACAAGTGCACATGTCTAGAAAAATATGCAAAAATGCTAGGTAGTAGTTTGAATACTGGTAAGTCTTCCTGAGATTTGAAAGTCCAAGCTTTCGATTGTTCTAGGGCAAGGAGGGGGCACGGAGCCCCAGGAACAGTAATCCTCTCACTCTCCTCAGGGATGGGGCCTGCAGGGAATACAAGCAGGGGGAACACACCATATACCCCCCACCAAGCGCCCTCCTCAGTAAGCAGGAGCAGATTAGTGCTGGCTCCTTCATTCTTCAGACCCACTCGCTGGAGAAAAAGACCTCCTTGGGAGCCAAGCTGAACAGCCTGGGCTGTGGGGAGCAGGGGCCACTGGGGAACCAGAAGGCACAGAAACCCAGGGGCCCGGGCAACCCACCTTGCCCGATTCGCAAAGGGGCAGAGAGCAATTCCAGGGGCTGACTCCCAGGCCAGGTGGAGTAGGGGCCAGGTGAGCACCCACCGCGGAATTGGACGCAACAATAGACTGTCCCTTTTCCCCATCACCACCACCCTCACCCACACCACTGTCCCCTGCTGGCCCACTGCCCCGGCTTCCTACCTGTTCTCCCGGCTCCCACTCCGCTCCCCACGGATCCAGCCTTCCTGGAGCATTCACGCCACCTTTCAGACACATATCTTATCCTTGTCACTTCCCTTCTTAATCACTTTCTGGTGGCTTCCTTTGTGCTCAGAAAAGATTTGCCTGATCCTTCTCCCGCCCACCTCTCACTCACTCAATTCCTCCCACTTCTATACCTCCCTCCCTGCCCAACCCCAGCCAGGACTTCTTGGAAGAGTGTCTGTTGTATAAATAAATCATGGTTCTTGAAAGTTCATTATCTAAATAAATGTTAAAGTCCAGTCATTGTCTTAAAGATTCTTATGCCCAGGGCATGTTGTGTTTCTCACCTGTGGGATTTCCCCGAACCTACACATCAAGTCCACATTTCCGATAATTAAAATCTACTAGGCAAAACGTGTCATTTCCGTCTGTCCTGCCTCAGGGCTTTTACCATTCCCCTTCCCAGGATATTCTTTCTCAAGTTCTTCCCTCAAACAGTCTGATGTCTCATGTGATGCCGAAGATCTCAGTCCAAGCTTCACTTCCTCTGGGAAGCCTTCCATGATGCCCAGTTAGCACAGATCTCCTTGTCAGAAGCTCTCATAGCACTGACCTCACTGGTTATTTTATATTCATCTGTATGATTCTGCCTGTTGGTTTCTTTCCTAGTCTGGAAGTTCCATGAGGGCAAAGACTGGTGAGTTCAACAATGCCTAGCACCATGTCCATTCCATAGTAGACTCTAAAATTATAAGTAGGATTCTTGCTGCATGTTGAAGGCATGGGGGCCCTGAGGTTCGAAGCCAATGGGGTCAGTGTAATCTTGTGAACATCAAGCTTGCATTTGCCACCTGGCTCCGATCCTCACCAGCTTTAGGCTCTAGA